CCCCTCCCCCACCCCCTAAACATACGTACTCCCTAAAGAGACTATGGAGGAGTGAGGCCCCACATCCCCCCTCTGGGAGCCCTTCTCCTTACACCACTTCCCCACCAATACCTACATTCCTTTGTAGATGTCTTTTCCATGCTGGTTCTGAAGTCTAGTCTTGGCTAAGTCGATGGGGAACACACAGGTCACCCCCACGAGCCCTGCCACGCCTCCATTGATGAGTTTTGCTGTGACACTAGGCCATGGGAAGGAGGGAGGCACAGAGTGAGGGAGGCAGGCACACACATAGGAGCAGGGAAGGAGTCTGGCTGCGGAGAGCTGCACTGAGCCAGGACTGGACGGGAAATGGAGGGAGGTGGGCAGGAGAGCAGGAACAGAGCAGAACATGGGTAGGAATGGCAGCTCCATTGACTTCAGCCCCACAGCTATCCTATCCAGAGACCCCTCTCCTCATCCTCCTGCTCCTATCCCAACAGCCCCTCTGGCTGACCTGTTATGCCTCCCTCACCTGGTCCAGTTCTAGAGACAGGTTAGGGGCCAAGGTCAGGAGGGCTTGGCCACTTCCTTCAGGGGCACTACCCTCACCAGGGCTGAAGCATCTTGCCCTAACCCCTAGGGGGATGTTCATAAAGCTAGGACACTGCAAGGGCTTCTGGGAAGGATGTCAGAGTGCCAAATCTGCCCCCTGGGGCCCTAGTAGGGTGCAGCAGGTTCTTAGCTGGGTCTCAGAGTACCCCCTTCAGAGTTTCCACCAAAGGCCTGTTTTCTGGCTTGCCCCCATCCTTAGGGCCACGTGTGACCACATTTTCAAACACACTGAAATTTTATTTCAGACGTAAGGTCAATCAGAACTGATTTTGAATCCTGGCTATTCTAGTTAGTTAAGCAAATTATCTCATCTCTCTAATCCGTTGTTCTCCCCTCTGTGAAACTGGTTAATGCATTTGGTAAGTGACAGCTATTACTAATAATAAGAGGATACACTTTTCTGACAGTGAGAGCTCCTGGTCAGCATAAGATAATCAGGGTTAAATTATTGAGATTATCTGATTCTAGCCAAAAGTAAAGTCTCACTTTATATAATGTGGGTCCCCCCATCCTTGAAAAAATTTTAAAGTCTGAAAATAGAAAATAAAGCTTTTTTAGACTCCTTGGAGCCTAGTAACATTTTCTTATTTTTCTGGCCAGAGGCAGATGTGAGCAAAGTATTTGGAGGTAGACTACCTGGAAGAGGTAAGAGCAGATAAATAGACTTAAATTTTGCAGTCTAAGGAGATGTAATCCAAACAATTACAAATTATATTTAAATATACATATGTATAAATAAATTATTTTTTTTTGTATGTAGGAAAATAGGGCTCTCTTGCTTATACTTCAGGAATCTGGACGAGAAGCTGAGTGATGTGCTATCACCACAGCAGCTCTCCCCCTAGCCTCGGCCCAGAGATGAGGGTTATCTCAGCCAGTTACCTCAAATCCTGCTTGGACATTCTTGAGGACTGAGGACTCCGGTGGGTCCTGGGAAACAGGCTGCTTGTTGACTCCTCAGGGCAGATGGCTGGCTGAAGAGGAAGAAGTGGTGTCTGTATCCTTGACCTAGCCCACAGTAGCAGAGTGGAAAGAACAGGGTGTCTGTGGAGAGTGTCCAGAGCCACCTTTCCAGCAAGTCACAAGCTCCTGGGGCTGAGGTGTCTCCTCTATAAAGCGATCAGACCAGCACTCACCTCATGGTTTGAGAACCACATCTGTGACAGGACAGAACATTACTCATGTATTAACGCTGCCAACTTGATCTGTGACCTTCCCTTCCGATACCTTTTGGACTTTGGGGATTGAGATCAGAAGAAAGAGGATGAGAGAGAAGACTAATGGGCCCAAACCAAGGCTGGGGAGAGGAGTGCTGGGGGCATTTGGAAGAGGAGCCTGGGAGCACCGGCGAGGGAAGCTGATGGGATCCAAAACAGGTGTTTTAAGGAGAGTTGCTGTGGATTTGGAATCCCTCTCGCAGTGTCCAATAACTACAATAAAATACTTGAAATGTTCTGAAGTTACATTTGGCTCTTAAAATGTGTTTTCTGAACTTCCTATCATCCTGTTGAAAGACTGGACTGCATTAAGACTGTGGACTTGTACTTGATGCACATGGAAAGCACCAGGGACAGTGCCAGCAAGTTGAAACTACAATTACAACAGTTGTTATAGCTTCTGAGGAGGGGTTCTGATTCAAACCAGAGAGACGGGAACTCCTGAGTTCTGATGCTCCAGTGGAGGCTTGTGCTCTGAGGAGTCTCTTTTCTCCAGGCTCTCTTCAAGCTGCATAAGCGCTCCCTCCTTCTCCATGCCCCTCATTGTTCCTCTAGGCTATCAGAAATTCTCTGCCATCTCCAGGTATTTTGTTTTGAGGAAGAAAAGAGAGATCAGTTTTCTGCTGATGTATATTGATCTATTCAGAAAAACATTTGAGTGCCAGGCACTGACTATTCCAGGTCTGGGTATAAAGCAGTAAGCGAAAGACTAAAATCGTCGTTTTGAGGGACTTAAATTTTAAAAGAGGAGACAGGCAATAAATGAAATAAATAAATACTAAGGATACCAGACAGTGATAAATACTCTGGAGAAAAAAAATTCAGAAGGGAAGGAAGATAGGAAATGTCAGTGATGGTGGATTGACCAAGAAAGGATTCACTGAGGTGACCTGAGAATCTAAAGGGAGTGAGCCATGCAGGGGTCTGGGAGAAGAGCATTTAAGGCAGAGCAAAGGCCAAGGAGCAGTGAGTCTAGTGAGCTGGAGGAACAACAGTGGCCAGTGAAGAGTGAACATGGATGAGTGAACATGGAAGAGTGGAGACAGTCAAAGAGATAATGGGGTGACGGTGTGATCAGGCCAGGCCTCATAAGATCTTTGGCTTTTATTCTGAATAAAAAGAGAAACAATGGGAGAGTTGTCAGCATAGAAGTGACAAGCTCGTGACAGGACCATTTGGCTGCTATATTGAGAATAGACAGCAGAAGGTCAAAGCTAAAAGCAGAAAGGCCATTAAATTATTACAGTAATCTAGGCAAGAGATGATGGTTGCTTATTGGGGGTTTGGTAGGGGGTGCTGGTGAGAAGTGGTTTAATTATGAATATATATTGAAGGTTGATGGTCCAGCTGTGAGAAGAAAAGTAGTAGTTAAGGGGACACCAATGTTTTGGGTGAGAACTTGAAGAATGGGCTTATAACATGGTGTTTGGCACTAGAACATATAAAACTTGTACCTGCTGAAGAAAGAAACAGAAAAGGGAAGCAAGCACATATGCAGGAGAAACAAAAGATGGGGATATTCCTAATGTTGTTTAAATCCCTGCTTCCAGCTTATTCCAGTTGCATTCTTGTCCTTAGATTCAGTCCTGTCAATAAATTAGGTCATTATTGCTTAACTTGCTAGAATTTGGTTTCCCAACCAAAGGACTGTTAATTAGCCTCAAAATTACAGACCCGAAAGGGTATAATGGGCTGAGACAAAGTAGGGCATAGGCTTGAAGAAGCCCCATGTTGCATTAGGAAGCTGGCAGGTCTTGTATAGTATCACGTGTCATCTCTTGAGGCTCCAACCATTTGCCTCCAAAAGTTGGAGCTTTAGGAGACTTGGTGGCAAAATGTCAGGAAATTAAAGTGTGTTGGCTGTTTTTTGAGACATTTAATAAATTGTTACGATAGACACACTGTAATTCCAGGTAGCCCCCTTAAAAATTGATAGGAAACAACAGGACATGTAAGAAACCCTTTTTGACCGAGGCCAGAGATTCAAATAATTGAGAATCTTGCAGCCATATTTCTTGCTATTTCTATAACTAAATTACTGTTTTATAAATTGTGGTTTGCTGGCTATTGGAATAAGGGTATTTAAGACAGAGAAATTAGGGATACCCCAACCCCCCAGGGCGCTCCCTAGGTCACTAGATAGATGAGCACTGGCTGGTGGGGAGTGGGTGCATCTCAGAGCACCAGCCTCGCCACTCCGACACTGTGCTAAGTTAGTCCCTGGTAGTTCCCTTTAGCAGATTTAGTATTCAAAGATTATGACTTGACAAGATTTCTTGAACTGGTAAATAAGGAAGCACAGTCAATAAAGAGGAAACTGCCAGCCAGCCAGCCAAGATTAAAAAAAAAAATTATTGATTTTAGAGAGAGAGGGAGATAGATGATAGATAGTAGAGAGAGAGACACTGATTTGTTGTTCCACTTAATTATGCATTCATTGGTTGCTTCTTGTATGTGCCCTGACCAGAGATTGAGCCCACAACCTTGGTGTATTGGGATCATGCTCCAACCGACTGAGCTACCTGGCCAGGGCAGCCAGCCAAGATTTTAAGAGTCATACCAACCACAAAAAACCCAAATTGGCAACAAGGCCTGTAATTGCTCAATCCCTGAAGCAATCCACAGGCCTTAGTGTTAAGTCATTGTACAAATATTTTTTGAGTGCCTATTGTGTGCCAGTCATTCTAGGCAACAGGGACATAGCTGAGAACAAAAACAAGGTCCTTCCCTTCACAGACTTTAAATTCTACTGGTTCCAGCATTGATAGGAATAGACTCCTTCTTTTCTCTTTTTTTAAAAATTTAAATGTATCTTTATTGATTTCAGAGAGAGGAAAGGAGATGGAGAGATATAGAAACATCAATGATGAGAGTCATTGGTTGGCTGCAGCCCGCAGCCCAGGCATGTGCCCTGACTGGGAATCAAACCCCGATCGCCTGGATCCTAGGTCAACACTCAACCGCTGAGCCACGCCCGGCCGGGCAGGAACAGACTTCTAAAGTGACAAAGCCCCCCTCCCACAGGGCACTCCTCCACACTGATCTCTCAATATAGGTCTGAAAGATCCAGGGCAAGGAAAACTCTTCCAGCAAGAGCAAGTAGGCCTTCAGGCAGCCATATTGCCTGACCAAGGAGCTCACTGCCAAAAATTTAGTAAACAAATGAACACTCATTAAATTATTTAGTCTTAGCCTTTTTTTTTCCCCAATCCTCAACATAGGATATTTTTTCCCATTGCTTTTTAGAGTGGCAGGAAGGGAGAGAGAGGGGGAGAGAGAGAGAGAAACATCAATGTGAGACACATTGATTGGTTGCCTCCCACATGTGCCCTATCAGGGCCAGGGATCGAACATGCAACCCAGGTATGTGCCCTTGACTGGGAATCGAACCTGTGACCGACCCCTTGGTGCATGGGCTGATGCTCTAAGCACTGGGTCACACTGGCCAGGGCAACTCTTAGCACTTTTTAAAAAAGGTGTGCACCATGCTTTAGATTCTTGGCCAATAGATTAATATTTCTCCTACTTTCTTTTCTAAATGGGATTTACGAAAAACAGAGTATTTGGGGAGTACTGGGGTAGTAAAACTAATGATTTATGCTCTGGGATGCAGAATTATGAGGAGCTAAATCTGAACCTCTTTTGGACCAAAGGGGACAAGAAAAAATAATCTTGACCAAGATACCAGAGGCTCCATGTCATTGCTTCTGGATGCAGTCTCTTTCATGACATTGAGTTATGTCACATTGGAAAGACAAGTGTATTTACAATTTTACAGGTGATAATTGAACCATATTAGAAGGAAGAAATTTGGGTGTATGGGAAATAGTATGTGTTTGCATGTCCTCAGGCATGAAAGGGTAGAATGTAGAGGACAACACATGTCTTCATTATCCCATTTCCAGGAATTCCCTCTTTCCTTCTCAGCATCCCACCTGGATGCACTGGGAACTGCCATATTCCTGAAACCTGACACTATCCCCTTGGTAATGAGGACTCCTTGAGGACAGGCACCTAACTTGTTAGGTTATTCCATTTTTTCCATAGGAATTTTAAAACAGAGATTGTATAGCCTCTTTCAAGGAGCTTTTTCTTTGTAGAAAACTTGGGACCCAGTAAAGCAGTCATGTTTACTGTCATATGGTTTGAGAAACAGATAAGTAAAGCAGAACCACAGAGGTAAGGAGACAAGAGAGTGTACTGGTGGTGTTTGAAACCCTGACGACAGTTCCCCCTTCATTCTTGACCTTTGGTACCAGAGGGATATTCCACTATCCTAGTGAATTGACTTACTGTCTTAAGCAAGTTTGTTGTTGTTAATTTTAATTTTTTTTATACATCTTTCTTGATTTCAGAGAGAGGACAGCAGAGGGAGAGAGAGATAGAAACCCCAATGATGAGAGTCACTGGGGATCGAGCCCGCAACCCGGGCATGTGCCCTGACTGGGAATTGAACCTTGATCTCCTGGATCCTAGGTCGATGCTTAACCGCTGAGCCATGCCCGTCAGGGTGCAAGTTAGTTTTTGTAACTTGGTAACTGAAGAGTTCTTAGTAATAAACAAAAAATTTTTAAAAATTCTCATTCCACTTAATAGTAATTGAACTGCTTACATAGTGAGTGCTGTAAAGTTTCACAGATGTGAGAGGTCATTATGGGCTGGCTTGGAGAAGGAGCTAGCAGTGGC